AGGTGATTGAGGGGCTTGAACGCGGTAATCGCATAGCAATTTCTCTTTGTGACTTATCAAAGGCTTTTGACTGCGTTTCACATGACATTTTGCTCCACAAATTAAATTACTATGGAATCAGAGGTATCCCTCTTAAGCTTATAACTTCTTATCTATGTGGCAGACACCAGGCGGTAGTGTCTAAAGGTCATCTCTCTGATTTTCTATCCGTAAAACATGGAGTCCCACAAGGTTCGTTCTTAGGACCTCTTTTGTTTATTATTTATGTCAACGATCTGCCTAAATTCATATCTTCGTACAAAACCATAAAATTCGCAGATTCTATCAGGAAAAAATAATGATGATTTAAAAATGTCTTCTAATGAGGAAGTTTCTACCAAATCTAGCTCACGGTTTGCTGCAAACAAACTAACACTTAACTCTGATAAAACGCAAAATATGGTTATATCTGCAAGTAATTTACACAATGATCTAGTTAACAAAGAGACTGTTAAACTATTGGGAATAACCATAGATAATCGACTCAACTGGTCTGCTCATATCTCACACTATAAGAAACAGCTATCAAGTTCATTATTTGTTATTCGCCAACTAGCAAGGGTTGTCAACTTTGAAACATTAAAAATGACATATTTTTCTTTATTTCACTTTCACATAAACTATGGTTTAATTATATGGGGCAATTCAAAAAATGCAGTTCAAATTTTTAGAACACAAAAAAAACTGTCAGGATTTTAGCAGGGGTTAATTATCTAGAACACTGCCGACCTTTCTTTATCAAATTCAAAATTATGCCGCTACCTACTCTGTTGATATTTCAAGTTTTAACTCAAATTCACAGAAAACGTGCCCATTTAATAAAGCAGTCTGATGTCCATGTACACATTACGCGAAACTGTCACTACCTACGAACAAATCGCTGTTGATTAAGTTTTTCAGAAAAAAAAATAGTCTTAATTATAACTATTACAATATTTTACCAAAAAGTATAAAAGAGCTAACCTGTAATAGTTTCGATAAAGTTATAAAAAAATATCTTTTAAAACATTGTTTTTACTGCTCAGAAGAATATATGACTCATTGCAGAACATCCACTGAACTGCTTCCGTAACTTTGCCATAAATATTTTTCTGTTTAATATGTTTTCATGTTTGTATTATTTAATGTTTTATTATTTAATACTATGTATGTTTTTTTTTTACTTGCTACAAACAATATCTGTATATGTTATGTAGTTACATAAATACTCTACTTCACTCTACTAGGGTCATAGTTGAAGAAGTATTTTTTGTAAATAAACAAAAATTATTTTAAATAATAATATATTTACATAACTTGATATAGATATAATATAAAAATCATGAAAGTTATCAAAGGTTGCCATTTGTGTAGATTAAAACAAAATAACACAACAAGAGTAATATAAATTCAAATTCATACATATTTTCAGTATAATTACGTGCATACTGCAATTACTGCAATATAATGAAATTTTGTATTATTTCAATTCTATTGTGCGTCGGTAAGTTTAAATTTATCTTTATTTTTTATTAATTTTTAGTTTATTCTTTACATTAAATAAATAATATAACCACAGATATAATGATCTGTTTTATCTATACTATATTTACGAAAGATAAAACATCATCATCGTCATTATTTTCGTCTGTGTCGCCTTCAGTAATTATAAGTTTATATCTATTCTGTATATTTCCATATTTTTCTATGTATACAAATTCCTTGCAGCAAATTAATATTTATCCAATTTACAAGGAGGTACTTCCTAAATGTATTTGAGGCAAATCATTTTCCTTTCTGTAGATCTATTTCGGACATTCCTATACAGGTAAATTTCCGATACTCCGGATTGGCTACGGAAGAATTATCAACAAACAATGAAAATTAAATCATAGTTGTAGCAAAAGATCCCTAGTTCGCAAAAAATAATAGAAAATAACTTCCAAATGAACGAAAAATTATTCCTATTAAAAATATACGACACACACACAACAAAATAAATCCCAGCTCCAGTTTAAAACAAATAAAATATAGATTTTATACCTATACAAATCTTTAAAAACTATAATTTTTTCCTACACCTTAAAAAGTCATAAAAATCTAGAGTTGAAAAAATTAATTAGTTCAGCCCTAGACAAATAACTAGATAAACGAAACCTAATTTTTAAACATACATATCATGATATATATTATATTTTGCGTAGTGTTTATTTGATACATTTTTTGGTTAAGCGATGTACATCATCGTGAAAATAATCTAGAACTGAAGTTAGACCGCTAGTTGGATAGAAAGTCGGAGCGTGAGTGGAGACGAACATCCAACTAGTAGTCCTACTAAGTTGGACCACAAGTCGGAACGTGAATGGCCTGTCTTAGGTTTCAATGTTTTTAAACAAAACCACAAAAACTAGGTGAGATTAGGTGTTGCTTCGTTGAACGCTCGAAGTCGAAGTCGGTTTCATGTTTCTTGTTTATAGATTTGGGCGTTTCATTTTTAAGTTGTATATACTTTTGCGTATATTACGAATATGCAATATTTTATCTAATCCGTGCATTCAATATTCTTAAAACATTTGTTTTACTTTTTAATTTTGTTATAGTTATAGTTGAGGTAACCTTTATAATATTAAAAAACATAATGTTTATGATTAATAAATATTTCTTCAATACACTTTGCAAAAAATTTATTTATATCAGATTTTATAAAAAAAACAAACTATACAATCATTTCTAAAAATAGTATTGATTTATGTATTGCCTTCGAAATATAAAAACTCAAATAAATTAGTTTTTATGTCTGTATAAACATGCTAGTACATGAATAGAATACTAAATGTACAAAATTATTTGCAAAAAATGATTTACTAAATTAATATTATTTATTAAATAAAAGTAATTTGAAAATACTTTTATTGATTATTATATAATTATTATTACATTTTATTCAATTTATATGGGGGTGTTGTGAGAAATTGTACATACTACTAACTCATATGAAGGCCCCTCTGTGGAATAGAAAATGACCATTAAAAAGTGTCGGTTGCCATTGTTTAGAGTAGGTTGTGAATTTTGACCGAAGCTCGATGTGTCCCATATTTTGGTCAAACGTTATACTTCTACCACCTACTCACCATATTTATTTAAACAAGAAAATAATCAAGTCTGGCTTAAAAAAATTAGTTCATTTTTTCATAGCAAAAATTTTACCCTTTATACGGTTTGTAAAAACTCTAAAAAGAATTTTATAAATTAGACAAATAGGCAAATAAAACGCCCACATTTCTTTCTGAACCAAACTAACTAATTTCTTTAAACCTTACCAGATTTTCTTCCAGTTTAAATCAGGTCCAGTTTGTTATATGTTAAATCCTAAGTTAAATAATTATTTAAAAACAAAATTTAATATTTTTAATTAATAATTAAGACATTGAATATTTGGGTAGAACGAAAGAGGTTAAAAAAAATTAAGAAAATATAAATTCTGGTGGCTATCGTTTAAAATTTGTGTCAGGTGATGGATGTAAAAAATGAAAATACAAAAAAATGTCAAAAAAATCGGTATGGATGTGATCAAAATTCGTCTTTAGGATTGAAAAGCATCTTATATATTATTATTTTGAAATTAAACGATGGTAACAGGTTCCATATTACTATTCAAGCTTAAGATGGTATTAAGTACCTGTACCAAAGGACGCTAGTATATCAAATTATTCAAAGGTTAACGTCAAGTCTTCAGCTTTTTCTAGATCAAGCAGATAGATAAGGGAGAAATGCCGATGTAACATCAATCTTGAAAAACAGATAATAGTACTGTTGAGGTTTTTACCTCGTATATACGTATCGTATCTTAACATATTCGGCAAAACTGGAAGAATAATGCGGCACCTAACTTCAATGGCTACTATGCTTATCTCATTGCAATGAACTACCTTTACGTCATTTAATCCAACAGTTATATAGACGCACTTGTAGACCACTTGGTTTCCAGGGCCAATGGTGAAACATCTGAAACGCTGTGATGAGAATTTTTGTCGATTTCGTCGCAATAGTAAACGAAATACCAATATTATTAAAAAAAACAGAACTTAGTACTGATACTAAGTAGTATCAGTACTAAGATATAGAAGTACTTGTACAAAATCATTTAAGCAGTTGCTAAAGAAAAATGTCTTAACAATTTGGGCATTAAAAAAAAACTTGGGAAAATATTACACGCAAGGTGACTAACAGTTGCTAATTGATTGTTTCGTTTGTCTGTTGGAACTGAATGTCCCAGCCCTCAATTAATTATGTTAGTAAGTTTCATCCAAAAAGTGTATGCACCAGTTTGGTTTTATATAAAACTTTATTCTAGCTCTTCTGATAATTCAAAACATTTGTGGCAAATGATCCGTTATTCACGATTTCTACCAGTGACCAAAGAAAAATTGTCGATGCCGTTATTTAAAGAAATGCTTATTTTGCCCATCTCGAAAATATATTACTTGGTACGATGAAAGATGAAATAAAACATATAAGGGAGCTAGGACTACGCAGAGTGCTGAAAGCTAGACAAAGTCAGAACGAAAAAAAGATCCGGAGATTCAAAATACCAACATTAAATTAATTTCAGTGCTGCAAATTATATTGATTTAATTTCTATTTCTGAATGGAGTATTACGACTCCTTCCTTGCTAAAACATATTTTCAATGAAGGTGTAAGGGATACGATTGATTCTGGGAATCAAAAAACATAGAGGTCTTAAACTGCGCCTCTATACCCAATTTAATATTTACAAGTCATCAAGGTTCGCGCCTTAGTATTAGTAAGGATGCTTGCTCCTACTAAAGCACACGTCTGCACTCTGCTGTTGAATTCGGCGTGGGGCCACAATTACCCTACGTGACTAAAAACGGTTAAATAATTTTTTTTATTATTATTTACTTTTTTTATACAGCAAAAACGCAATATCTTATATTTATTGTTTTTTTTTTTGTTTTAGCACTCTCAGTTAATGCAGAATATGCATTGGAGAAAAGAAGTGGTAAGTGATTTTTATAAACTTTATATTTAATTCCAACGTAGCTTAATCGTATATTGTTAAAATATTATTTGTATAGGTAATAGTAAATAAATACATTTATTTTCCCTGAAATATTTATATAAGTACTATTAGACAAAACGAAAAGCTCGGGTTCGTTCGGAAAAATATTCCCATGAGCATTTTTTGTATAATCATTCTCATAAGATACCTCGTAACAAGATTCAAGAGATCGCCCGGGCAAAAAAAAACAATTTTTCATTAAGAAATTACAACAAACAATTGTTTCAGACCGGACAATTTTTTTTTATTTTTCGGATCATTTTTAAGAAAATAAGTCCGTTGTAGTTTTTTGTAAACCTGATCATTTTTAAGTTTTAAATTATTTAAAACTGAAAAAAACCGCAAAATAACGATTTTCAAGGTTTAAAAACACAAGTTAAGAACATTATTTATAAGCAAACTTATTTTGTAAAGAAATATTCAAAAAATTTAAAAAGTAATGTCTGGGCCGAACAAATTAATTGTTATAATTTGTTCTGTTTAACAAAAATTGTTTAAATAACTTTTTCCCGGGCGACGACTTTAACCATATTTTGGGGTATCTCATCAAAGTAATTATGTAAAAATTCACATGAGAATAATTTTCCGAACGAACCAAAGCTTCTGGTGCGTTGTGATAATCCTTCTGGTAATTCTACAGAAGTATCAAATATATTTTATTTTTTTGTTCTTCAGCCCATTACAGACATATAAGAGATATAAGTACTGCAAACCTAAATCGATTTCTTGAAAATTCCCGCTCAGATATAATAGAAAATTGCAGACGAAATGGAATGACAGCACAAACCCAAAGTAAGCTTGAGGTAAGAACAAAAGGATTTTATAAATTTGTAGAATTAATTGATGTAAATTTTATAAATATAATAAACTAATAAAAAAATAAGATGTATATGTATGTACAAACATAATATTATATTTGTTGTACAGATCCATTGAAAAAAGTCGCAATTAAAGCAGTCCTTGGAATTGGTATTCCTACTTTTGGATGGTTAGTCACTGCAATTCAATAAGTTTGTACTAGATAAAATAAAAATATTTATTTTATATCTTTTAAACACATTAAAAAAATAATTAAAATTTAAAAAACGATTCCATTGGTTACTTTTGTAACATTAATAGCATCAGAATGTGCCAGTAATTTATTAATATTAATAAATGTAGTTCGAATAAAGTATATGCTTCCTAGTGGCGGAATACGGGTAACAACACATTGGTTTATAGGACGGTCCTTACCGTAGGGATCTGAGCCTAAGCAAAAAAATGCAAGCAGATGTGGGGTTATACTGCACTTTGGTTGCACTGATAACGTGTTGCGTAAATCATGCCGAATATGATGCTTATTAATATTAAAGGTATTTGGGCATCAGATTTCCAAAAATCTTTTTAGGCCATGATATTGAAAAGACCTTCTCGAACGTTTTAAAAGTTATACTAAAATAATGGCATTTGCCGAGGTAAAATATTCTGGAAGCAAATTGAGGCTCTGTTTGGATTTATGAGTTAGGACTATTTCCGGGGGAACAGCACTACAGGTTAGAGAAGATTGGATAGGGTCTTGGAATCTTAAAAGTCTTACAAGTAAGGGTGTGAAGTTAATAGACGTGATAAAATAAAGAAGAATACAAATATCTTACATTCGAGAAACTAGGTAAAAAGGAAAAAGGGCGAAAGAACTAGGTAAAAGGTACAGATTGTGGTTTGCAGAAGAGTAACACTAGGAATGGAGTTGGTATAATTAGCTCAATTGAGTAAAAGCTCAATGATAGTAAAATGAAATATAACTTAGTACAAGTTGAGAGAACGAGCAATAGAATAATATTGGTAAAATTTGTAACTGATCAAAAAATATTGAATGTTGTATATGTGTGATCAATTTCTATGATTAATTAGGAGATATACTGAGTGATACTTCATCAGATGAGAAATTTATAATGAGAGATGGTTTCATTGTACCTTTGGAAAATCTAAGATATAATATAAACCAATAAATGGAGGACTAGGCTTTGAAACTAGAACTGAAGCTGGAGATAATATACTTAAATTAGCAACACCGTTGGATATGGCGATTGGTAACACATTTTTGGCGATTATTTACATGGTAAAAGGAAGAAACTCAACCTTCCTACTCTCCCGAAGTAAATGTTACATTCTTTGTCTGTAGGTACGGGCGGTCCCAGTGGATAAATGGATCATACCTGTAGTGAATTAAATTCCAATTTTAATTAATTAATTCGTAGGAGCTTTTGTAGTTTCATATTATCGATGTATCAAAACTAAAAACATTTTTTTGCAATAAAAATTATAATATAACTTTATTTTCAATTGAAATTACATATTTATTTAAGCCAACTTTTACAAAAGATATTTGAATGATCCGGACAAATAAACCTTTTATATGCTTGACATCTTGTACGAGATTTTCTGTCTTTTTCCTATCCGCAGTCTTTACACATTCCACGTTTTGGACTTTTATTTGCATTTCCACTTGTTCCAGCTACTGCATGTAAATTTAGTTGGATTTTTGTGGAACGTTTGTTGTTATTCGGGTATTTCTGGATCTCATTTTTTAGCAAGCGCTTATTATTCTGTTTTTTTTTACAAATGATTGTACACCACACCCTCAACGCTAAAGTGATCGAGGCTGGTACAACATTAAAGATACTCGTCAAACGCTTTCGAAAATAGAACCCTTAAAATCTTATTAATATTCTCAGAAAAATAAACCAAACAAACATCACGTACGTTTAGAAACACTTCTGGGTACAGGTGAACCCATAAACAACAGATGTGTTTCTTTCATTTCAAAGAAAACCAAACTGACATTTTAAAACGCAAATTTAAATTGTATATAAACCTCATCATAATGATATCATGAAACATCACGTCTCAAATTTAGGATATAATAAATTTATAAACATTTTAATTTTACTACTGGGTCCAGGCGTACCCAGACACAATACAAATGTTAATATTTACGTATAAAACAACAAAATCATCCCCACATAGATTATTATATGACTAGAAAAGAAGATATTATAAATCTAAGGACTGCAAGGCAATATTTAGTGAGACAGTTAAAAACATAAGTTTCTTGTGCCAGACATCGAAGTAAGAACCGCAACAAAACAAAAATATCAGAGAAAACTACAAAAAATTATGTAGTGGATTTTAAAAGATAAGAAAGAAGCTATATTCAGGGCAAGAAAAGTAGAAGCAGAAAAAATGAAAAAAGAAGTTTAAGAATAAGAAGACTTGCTCGTGGTCGAACGAAGTATAAAAAACAGCAGTAGATGTAGCAATAGAAAAAGCAAAAAATTATTCTAATTTATATGACCAATTTGATACCATGAAAAGCGAAACAAAGATATATCAAATATACAAACATAAAGCAAAGAACGCAAAAAATTGTAATCAAATTAAATGCTAATTTATGAAAAGTAGGTCAGAAAAAGATTAAAAAAAGTAGTTTGAAAGTTTATTAATTGTAGAATTTGATAGAAAATCAGTGAAATTCGAGGAGACAGTAATCAATGGTCACCAAAATAACAAATATAAAAAAGGGAGCTCAAGCACTTCAAAAGATAAACAAGGGTAAAGCAGTTGGACGAGGTAATACTTCTGGAGGAGTAAAAAAAGCAGTAGAAAAGAAAACAACAAGTTCGCCGATAGGTTTTTTAAAAAGAATTATGGAAGTTGGATAAATGCCAAACGTACAAAAATATACAAACTGCAGGGCAAGAAAACTACTTAGTCATACCATAAAATTATGAAAGAGAGTAATTGATAGACGGATATGTGAAGAAACCGAAATATGCGATAATCAGTTTGGCAATATGCAAGGAAAATAAAAGAGATGCAATTTTTATTATAAGGCAGTAGACGAAAAAATAAAATATTGAGGGACCAAACGATTACAATGTATTCATTAATCTTAAGAAAACATATGATGGAATTACTTGACAGAGTTTGGTAAATATGTAAAAATTGTGAGAGACAGTACCTATAAAAAAATACATACTGTTGTTAGGACACGTGTTAGAGAGGCTAATAAATTTCATCTGAAAGTAGGATTGCACCAAACATAACATAACAAAATCATCAAGTTTTTGAGTAACCTTTTGACATTAATAACACTTATTACCCCATTCATCTTGTAACATATTTGTTAAGCTTTTTATAATAGGTACGTTTCATAATTGTACTGCTTAGGTGTTAGGTATTAAAAAGTATTAAAGTAAATTCATTGTTAAAATTAGTTATCACTTTACCACAAATATCAATTACATTACGGGTTTTCTCTATTATAGACCAGTTTTCTATATGGGTTCGTTTTAAAGGATTTCCTTATGTATAGGAAACTTTAGAAAGTACGAAAACAAGCCACACATATATTTGGTTTAAATTTTCAAGGCAATAAGTTTTTACATTTAAGTAATAAATGTAATTAAGAGTATTTAAAAGTATTCTAAACATATTGTTGTCTTTAAATTTGTATGATAAATAAACCATCAGCTTATAAACAACTTGCTTTTTGGTGCCATCTCCAATGGAGGTTTGCAATGAGTTCTGCAAATTTATCTTCCACTTTTTCTTTTATTATTATTTTAAAGAAAATTTATCCCATGGTCTTCTCAAGAAATTTATTTCATTCATCCTTTCGTTACTAAGCACGTATTCCCATATTTCTTATGTCTTCATTGATGTTATAAAGGAACTTTCTTCTGGGTCTTCCTTTTCCATTCTGACCAATGAAGAAGCGTTTTTTCTAGCTGGACCATTTTGCTCCATCCCCATTATAAGCATTATACATCTCAGACGTTTTATTTTAAAATATTTTATAATTCTAGTTTCTAATATATTCTGTAAAGTTCGAAATTATATCGTCTTCTTCACAATTCATTTTCATTCATCTCTTCATAGATTTACCTTAGTACTTTACTAAGATTTACTACCTAAACAGGCTCTTACAACTCTTTGTTTCGAGTTTAGGTATCTGAACCATAATATGTTAGGATTTTGGAACCATTGCATTTTTTTTTGGCTTTAGGGTAAATACCCACACAGCCAGACACATTTTTAAAAACAGGTACAGGGATTACACAGGGATTACACTCTTCTCGCCCAGGGGCCGAACAGGGCATTTTTATAAACGATAAAAGGTAGGCCTCGGACAGATAGATATGCATACATTAAGGAAAGACATAAGGAAAGACAACAAACAATCGTAAATTTCTTTTTTTTTTCTAAAGCAAGAAGATGTAGTATATTAAATGGGCTTTTAATGTTTAATTTTAAAAGTTTACTAAAAAGCTCATTAGATTGAGCTCTATATTTTAAACAATCAAAAAAGATGTGGTCAAGATCACCGATTTTATTACAGGCTTCGCAAAGATCACTCTCAAGTATTTTTATTTTAAATAAATGTACTGGATAACATGCGTGACCAAACTTCATTCTGCTGATAGTAGTTATACTTTTTAGACTGTAATCGTACTCATTGGTTTTCTCCTTAATTTGGTTTCAAGTCTGGTGTAACGTGTTGGATTTGTGAAGCCGTACTCTTGCCATAAATAGGACCATTTCTTCATCATTCTCTGTTTTGTTATGATTATTTGTTCGTCTGTAGTTAATTCGTAATTTATTTGTTTCCCCATTACTATGCTTTCTTTGGAAATTTGATGTGCAATTTCATTGTTTGTTTTTCCTGCGTGTGTTTGACCCAGAAGAATTTTATATATTTTTTCTGATCTTGTAATTATTTAAGTATTGCTTGGATGCTAAAAATAATTTAGTTGTGTTTGAG